CTTTCATAAAAATACTAAATGCTAATGAAGTAATAAAAATAAAATTAATACAGATTTTTCCTCGACAATTCGAAAACCCATTAAAAATACTTTGTACACAATACGATGCTTTGGATCGCTCAACTGCGTAGATGTAAAACGAAAAACTATTTAACAAATCGATTCCTTTTATACAAACTCATACAAATTGAATCAGATCTGTTTCAATTTCTTAAAAAATATATAAACATATTATTTTAAATTACTCTAAAAATATTTTCTTAAAAATGAGGAAAAAAAATAAACGCTGCAAAAAAAAATATAAACAAAATATAAACAAAATTAAAAAAAATATATAAAAAATATATAAAAAAATATAAAACAAATAAAAAATATAAAACAAATAAAAAATATAAAACACATAAAAAATAAAAAAAAAAATAAAAAAAAATAAAAATAAAAAAAAAATAAATAAATAAATAAAAAAAAATATATAAAAAAAATAAAAAAAATATATATAAAAAAATATATATAAAAAAATATATAAAAAAAATAAAAAAAACATATATAAAAAAATATAAAAAAATAAAAAAAATATAAAAAAATAAAAAAAATATAAAAAAATAAAAAAAATATAAAAAAATAAAAAAAATAAAAAAAATATAAAAAAATAAAAAAAATATAAAAAAATAAAAAAAATATAAAAAAATATAAAAAAATAAAAAAAAATATAAAAAAATAAAAAAACATAAAAAAAAAATTTAAAAAACATAAAAAAAAATTTAAAAAACACAAAAAAAAAATTTAAAAAACATAAAAAAAAAATTTAAAAAACATAAAAAAAAATTTAAAAAACAAAAAAAAAAATTTAAAAAACATAAAAAAAAAATTTAAAAAACAAAAAAAAATTTAAAAAACAAAAAAAAATTTAAAAAACATAAAAAAAAATAAAAAATAAGTAAAAAGAAATAAAAGAGAACATGTTTGCAAGTTATCAATCTAATTAAATGCTGCCGTTTTAATTTCCAGCATAAATAAAATGCTATGTTGTTGATTAACTGACTTAACTTAGGAAAAGTTTGATTCTTTTCTGCTTCTTTTTACAATATTTTATAAAACCTAATGTCTGAGTTGGGATCGTCGGGATCATTGGTCGTCTTGCAATAATAAAAAACATTCGTGAAGATTTTTAATTTTAGCAGCCCGAATATAGCTCTTATCAAGTGTTTGTTCAGTTCAACTTCAACTGGATCAACTTCTTATTGAAAGAGGCTCTCCGTCAACATCAAGCAATTCATTCAATTATCTTCTTCCAAATATTCACAACCAAGATCGTTTGATAAACTTAATATATTTTGTAAACGTACAGGAAGAGAATTAACTTCAGACTCGTTAATTTGTATGCATTCTGTCCATATTGTTTCCAAACAAAGTACATTTTTAGTTGATTTCAAATCTTTTCTTGTATAGTTAATGCAGCATCTCCGATGTCGTAGTTTTTTTCTCTTATCGAAGATTCACTATCGCTTTGCTGAATAAGTTTATAAAAAGTTCAGAAAAAATATTTTATCCACCGATTGTTGTAAAACATTACTCAAAATGAGTAATGGACTGTTGTTTAATTTTTTTTTTAATATTTTTTCACTTTTCTACAAACATTATTATTAAACCAGTCCTCAAATCGAATCTGATTCATCTAGCCTATATTATTGTATTTCTTGGTGGGATGTTTAAAACACTTTTTTTTCGTTAATAATGTATCCGAATAATATCCGAACGTAGGATTTTCAGATTTTGAAATGAAAAGGCTATTGTTGTTGCACCTTTGGAAAATATATTGAATGAAAAAATCAACTAATTCAGACTTTCAAATACATTTAGGAAAAAATGCAAAGTTATGCAATATTTACACATTTTCGGAGGTGTACATATTTTTTTATTAGATAATTTCCAACAAAATTTGTAAGTAATACCATGTTCGACTTTTGCGGACGCAATAAATGTGTGTCCAAAAACATAATTTTTAATGACAAAAGTGCAGACATTTAAATTAATAACAATTGAGACGTGCCCACCCCAGCAAAATACAAGCATGGTATAATTGTTCTACATCAATTAAAATTATTCAGCAATAGCTACACTGCAAAACACTAAATTATTACCTAATACCACTCTCTCAGGTTCTCTTAGGACACTCTCATAATAATCTTCATACATACTGACGAGGTGTATATAAAGGCTGATAATTAAAATTAAATTGCGAAAAGACAAATTGAGATTATTTCCTTAAAACATTTGAACGTGACTTCAGCATTCTTTCTCTGTTCTTTGATTTAAACAAGGCAAAGAAATAATTCCATAAACTTATTACAAATTCGGCTTACACAGTTGTTTTAACAGGTAAAATTCAAATACTAAGACCAGATTTTTCAAATAACCTAAGCCGAGGAATGTGACGAACTCCGTTAACTTGACCCAATCAATTCGCACATAAAGGCCAGTAACACTAAAATTCAGAAAAGAGTGGACATCCATTGCGATCCCTAAATGGTAGATTAAAGCTTCAGAAATAATTATTTAAATTTGCTATTTTGTACAAATTTTTTAATTGAGTTTTTGTTATCAATGAAAGATGCGATTCATAATAGGAAATGAAAAGAAAGTGCATCGTATTCAAAAAAGAACAATCATCGAATGTGCAGTTTTTCAGTGTGTTAAAAATCGAATAAAAAGAGAATATATATATTTAAAATAATTGACTGCAAAATTTGTCTTCGTTAGCATATCGAAAAAATTTGTTTATTCTAAAACAACGCGATAAAATAGGTGTAGGAGCAGAATAAATCGAAAGAAACCTTTAAGAAGCGGCTAAGTTTGCAATTTGCAAATACAGTTTGTCAACATTGTGTTTGCAAAACGAAAAAATGTTACAAATGTTTATTAAATGCCCAATAAAAACGATTTAATTTTGAAATAAAAAAAAAATTAAAATGTTTACAAATAAATTAAACATTTTTCTTCATATTAAACTAAAAATTATTCAAAAGTATCATTAGAACAATAAAATAATTCACAAAAACAAAAATAACACCAAATTTGTTGTGTCAACATTGTGTTTGCAATTTTGCAATTTCTTATTTTTAACGGGACAGAATACCGTTAGATGTGTCTGGGTTTTTTTGTTTGTTATGATATTCTGCAAAATCTGTTCAGTTTCTTTGTTATTTAATAAAATAGAGTGTTTTAAGTGAAGGAATAACTAAAACGCACGTGATTAAATATGACATGTAAAAGAACAAATTCAAATAATATTAAGTTAGTATGTTATAATTACTACCTCGGTAAATCTGCTAAGTAATAAAGTCTAATGTTTAATATTAGGTTAAGAACAATTTATAATATCATAAACAGACCAGAAAATGAGGATTACATTAGTTTAACACCAGCAGGCCACCATATTAAACCATTGTCTGATCGCCATATAAGAAGAGTATTGCAAATAATTGATAAAAATCCTTGAATTTCCTTACGATCATTGGCATTAGGTCTGGAAAAGCTATTTAATATTGTTGTTAGTCATAAGGCAATAAGAAAAGTGCTATTACAAAAAATTTATTCTTCGAAAGTTGCACGTAACACACCGTTGTTATCTGTTTAAAAAATTGAAAAACGATTTCAGTTTGATAGCGCACATTTAAGATATGCTTCAGAGCACTAAGATGATGTGATTTTCTGGGACGAAGTGGAAATCAAGCTTTCTTCTAATGCAGGACCTACACAAACATGATAATAAAGCATAAAATTCCAGAAAATTACATTATCTTAGGACTCTGAATCATATCTTAAATGTGCGCTAGCAAACTGAAATCGTTTTTCAATTTTTTAAACAGATAACAACGGTGTGTTACGTGCAACTTTCGAAGAATAAATTTTTTGTAATAGCACTTTTCTTATTGCCTTATGACTAACAACAATATTAAATAGCTTTTCCAGACCTAATGCCAATGATCGTAAGGAAATTCAAGGATTTTTATCAATTATTTGCAATACTCTTCTTATATGGCGATCAGACAATGGTTTAATATGGTGGCCTGCTGGTGTTAAACTAATGTAATCCTCATTTTCTGGTCTGTTTATGATATTATAAATTGTTCTTAACCTAATATTAAACATTAGACTTTATTACTTAGCAGATTTACCGAGGTAGTAATTATAACATACTAACTTAATATTATTTTAATTTGTTCTTTTACATGTCATATTTAATCACGTGCGTTTTAGTTATTCCTTCACTTAAAACACTCTATTTTATTAAATAACAAAGAAACTGAACAGATTTTGCAGAATATCATAACAAACAAAAAAACCCAGACACATCTAACGGTATTCTGTCCCGTTAAAAATAAGAAATTGCAAAATTGCAAACACAATGTTGACACAACAAATTTGGTGTTATTTTTGTTTTTGTGAATTATTTTATTGTTCTAATGATACTTTTGAATAATTTTTAGTTTTATATGAAGAAAAATGTTTAATTTATTTGTAAACATTTTAATTTTTTTTTAATTTCAAAATTAAATCGTTTTTATTGGGCATTTAATAAACATTTGTAACATTTTTTCGTTTTGCAAACACAATGTTGACAAACTGTATGTATATACAAAAATAATGTGGAACTTTGAAACACTTTGCTTTATTGAAATATGTAAATTTATTTCTATGGAAATTATCCTGCAAGATTTGAAGCAAACCTTACTTGGCACTTTGAATAAATAAATTGGTTCCAACATTAAAATACTTTGGTGGCTGTGTGAGCATTTGAGAAGCATTAAGATCAGCGGGTATTGAATAGTTGGCATTGTTTGATAGGCTACTAGACCAGCATTAATTCAAGGCCATATTACATTACACATACATTCATATATCCGTTAAAAAAATCTCTTCATTCGCTGAGTATTGTGTATTAAATAAAAATGCATAGGTACAAAGTAATATATAAATTGCAATACAATTTACTTTACCTAGGAATTTATTTGTATTAATTCATTGAAAAGGTCTTTCTTGGATTTAGTTTTCTATTTACACAACACTACTTATACGATTGGAATTTGTTTTGTTTTTATTTCATATCAGCATCATTAACTATGTAATACACACTTATATATCTGGAAACTAAGCTAATTTTGTTAACTTTGACTTCGTCTCTAATCTAATGGGAACTAATTTCAATTTTTATGAATGCACTATTTTAATTAGAATGACTATAATACTGTATCACAAAACTTTTTATGATCAACTGTTAAATAGACATATTTGCAGCATTTAAGTATATCAGAATCGAAACTGGCTTAGAAATGATATTTAGATAAGCAAATATGAAGACCAAAGAACATTTTGAAGTAATCATAAGCTAGCTTATATAAGCCCTTGCACTAATATAAAAGGTCATGAAATGCAAGGAAAGAAAATTTGTGAGAGCGAACAGGCACGAATTACACGAAATTTAATTGAATTTTATTCTAAGTATGGTATTCAAGCATTATTTAAGTAATTTTCAGCGTCTAAATACACTACAGTATCTGGCTACCAGAGTTAGAAATATCAATGAAAATGAAAATAAAAAGAAGCAAATGCATTTCTCGAGGTCGAAATACACTGCTAAGCATCATTGTTTTTTATGCTCTTGAATTCGGAAAACAATAAGTGCCTTCGGTGTCCCGCAAGTGTGACAAAAAACTGTAAGTTGTTGGCCTATAGTTGCTTAAATGTACGCAAAACATCAACACTACTTTCTCTATCTAAGTAGATGTGAAGTGGCCAGACACTTTGGTCAGTAAAGAAAAAATGTTACCAACGAAATAAGCGAAGTATTGTGAATATGCATTGGAAATTTCATCGAATATTTCAATCATATGCCAAAGCTTGGCATATGAGTTTGGCTGGCAACAAGGGCAATGGGAGAAAGTCAGTTGTAGTAAGGCGTTAGAATGGAGCGGATGTGTGTGTAGCAGTTGAAAGAAAAGTTGGGCTACACATCGTCACGCGAGTTAAGTGTCCGTTCGACTTATTAAGATAAAAAAATATTTTTATTAGAAGCATTCGCTTCAATTGTTAGCTTTATTCTGAACTTAATTATTTAAAATACAATATTTTATACATTAAAATATGCTTATGTAGCACATGTTAACATAATCAAGAAATAAATTTTAATTCACATAAATATATGGTTACAATAATTATTATGATAAGAAATAAAATATAAAATATATGATATACGTATATACTCGTAGTGTGTCGCTGCTTGTGCTGTGTCTGGGGCAATAATTTGTTATGTAACTGGGGTGTCACATAACTCGCGTGCGAATACCTATGTGTAAAGTTTTTTCTACATAAGTAATTTCTCGATTTTGCTGATAAACTTTTTAATTTATCGATTTTGAAAAAGCGTGAATAATGGTCTACGGTTATAAGAAAATATTTTTTCTGATTGTTTATGTTCATTTCGAACACATCCATTGTTACTATATCAAATATTGATGTACCAATTGCTTTATCTTACTCGTTATACCTTTCCAGAAAACTGTTTCTCTCGCTAATTTCAGTGTTGCCTCTAGTCCCAAATGTGGAAAATGTAATTTCTGTAAAATATCACACGATCTCCCTTGAATACTAATTAGTTGTTTAGTATTTACTGGTCTCTCAAATTTCAGTGCTGTTTGATTTCGTAAGATAGTTTTTGTTTATACTCTGGTCAACTATTTTTAATTATTCTTGATTAGGGTTTTTATAATTTAGTCTTTACCTGTTGTTGGCTTAATTTTCTGAAATTTTGTTGTGGATATGAGTTTATCTTCTCTTTCGCCAATTTGATCTAATGTAAATTTTAAGTTAATTTTCCGATTGCTTTTTGATTTCTGAAGCTCTTGATAATGTATCAGTTAGATATATTTCGGTCCCTTGTTTTTGTTTTAGTGTGAAGTTATATCTATGCAAGGTCAATATTATCGATTGTAAGCGTTTTGGTGTTTTAATTATCGATTTCTTGAAAATATTGGTTAAGGGTAAATTATTTATTGTGATTATTACATCTGATCTGCCACATATATACTGAATGAATTTTTTGCAAGCAAATAAAAGTGCTAGCATCTCTTTTTCGATTTATGCATAGTTTTTTGTTTTAGTAAAAGTTTTTGAAGCGTAAATTATTGGATGACCTTTCTGCAATAGAACACAACCTAATGCATATGAAGCGTCCGTTTGTATTATGATCGATTTGTCTATGCTGTAATATCGTAAAATCGGTGCTGTTGGTATCACTTTTTTTAATGTATTGAATGGTTGTTCTTGTGGTGGTCCTCACGTAAATTCTTGTTTGATGTGTGTCACGTTGCGCAAAGCCTCTTTTATAATTGCTAAATTTGGTATAAATTTACTTACATATGTTACACGACTTAAAAATCTCATCGTTTCAACCTTATCTCTTAGTTTAGGCATGATTAGATTTGCACTAATTTTTTCTAGATCTGGCTTGACGCCCTTACTTTTTAAGATGTGATCATAAAATTGTATATTTTGTGAACATACCTTGTGTTTATTTTTAAGTTTTGTTAGTTTAAAAGTGCTTCTAAGTTTTTGTTGTGATCTTCAATTGTATTTTGTAGATTTTCACCTTAGCCGAAAACTATATTATCGTCTGCTATGCATGCAACTTCTTTTTAATCCTGACATAATCTAGTGTTGCTTCATTTCAAAAATTTTCACCGCTCTTTTTAACCCAAATGGCAAACGATTGAATCTACATTTTTCAAATGAAGTTCAAAATGGTGTGAGTTCGTTGCTTTTCTCATCTAATTCTTATCAAAGCCCTTGTTTCGCTTCAGAAGACATTCGCTTCTGCGAGTTTAGCAAAGATTTCTTCCGTCATTGGTGCTTGATATTTAACATTTTTTAGTGCTTGATTTTGCTGCTTTGGATCAATACATATTCTCAGTTAATTATTACTTTTCTTGACGATTACCTAGTTGCACGCCCTATCTGTGTCTTTGATTTCTCTGGTTATATTGTGTTTTTTTTCCACTTCATCTAGAGTAATTATCAGTTGCTCGCGTAAACAAACTGAGTTAAGCATTGGTGATTCGCTGTTTGGTGTCATGTTTTCGTCAATCTCAAGTAAAATTTTGTCTTCGATTTTGCCAAACCCCTCGAATACCTCTTTATATTTTGTGGTCTATCTAGTTTTGACTAGATACTTAAGAATTTTAATAACAATTTGTTACGAACCTTTTTCTTGGTACATAATACAAATTGTTAAAATGATCCATTTCATTTTAAATAATTTTCTGCATACAATGCGGAAGCGTTTGTTGCAAAATATTATTGAGTTTAGCCATTGAACTCAACATTTCATTGTATGCGAAACCGCACTTTTATTAGCAGTTACCAACAGGTAACTAAGTTGTTGCAAAATATTATTAAGTTCAGCCATTGCACACTCAGTTCTTTTTGCAGAGTGGTATATTTTTAAATATTTGCAGTTACCAATTGATAACTCAGTCAATATGCAATACTTTCTATTTTCTGCGTAATAGCAGTAAAATAATTGAAATTTCCGACCATACATTACGCACATGATTAATGTATTCACTGTTTTCCGAAAGGTGAAAACATGGGTAGAAAGTCTTGAATGACTCAGTTTCGTAGTAGTGTTCAGTCAGTTTCGTAGTAGAGTTCAGTCAGTTTTCGTGGTGGATGCAATGCGGATTGATATTTTATTTATATTTAGTGCATTAAGTGCATGCTTCTTACTGCACTATCTTAAAAACTAACTTCAAAGGTAACAATATATTCTTTCAAGCATAATTAATTTAGAAATTACAAAAATAAAAAATATGATGAAATTGTGTTAAAATTTTAGTACCATATATTCCACCCAGCGTTGTATATGAATCGCCACGTGTATCACTATTGAACTCCGTACTGCTAGTAGCAGCGACTAGCTAGCGTAACCGTGACCGAACGAATGTAACGAATGACTGACTCGTGCACAAGTGCTGTTGCTCTATATATGCATTAATTGCGTGTCCGTGTTTCGTGTTGTTCATACGTTCTAGCATGCACATGTTTGGCTGGTGCTGCGAACGTGCACATGTTTGGCTTGCTGCTACAGTACCCTCCTCCTAGCGGGGGAGCGCATGTAACACCGCGCTATGGCCTTGTTATCGCTCTATTTGGTGAATGCGCTCAACTTGGCCGGAAAATGCACTTTTCTGCCTGCGCGTGTTACCACAGATCTGGTTTCCTGCTGGTCTTTGAGGACGGGTTCGACTCCTGGTGCTTGTACTGAAGGCGGTTCGGTTGTTCTGTTGCCGCTCATGTCATCTGAAGTCATGAATGCTGGTTTCAGCCTGTCTACTGCTACTGTGACGTCTTTATCTTTCACGCTGATGACGTAGTTCTTTTCATCGCGACGGACTACTCGATAAGGGCTCTCGTAAAGCTGTTCTAAACGTGCCCGAACACAATCGATGCGTAGGAATACATACTTGCTCTCTGACAGCTCGCTGGGTACAAAGACTGGTTGTTGACCGTGTCGCAGTCCAGGTTGAGTTCGTACATTACCTAAGTTTCTGCGCAGTAACTTTACGAAGTCTGTTTCGCTTGGTTTGATTTTGACTTCTGTCAGCAACTGTCCCGGGACTCTGAGAGGGTTGCCGTATAACATCTCTGCCGGACTGGCGTTTATGTCTGCTTTCGGCGCTGTCCTGAGGTCCAACATTACTAAAGGAAGAATTTGGGTCCAGTTACTGGAATCGTGACAACGTATGGCTGCTTTCATTGTTCGGTGAAACCGCTCGACCATGCCATTCGCTTGGGGGTGGTAGGCAGTTGTGCGCCAATGCTTTATTCCTAGTAGTTTCGTCACCTCTGTAAATATAGTGGACTCAAATTGACGTCCTCTTCTGCTGTGATGCCCACTAAAGGAAAGGCTACTGGCCAACGCGAAAAACGATCGATGCATGTGAGAATATAACGCTTTCCTTGCGACGGTGGCAATGGGCCCACTATATCCAAGTGAATGTGTTGAAATCGGCCATCTACCGCTGCAAAAGAACCGATACTCGTACGGGTATGGCGTTGAACCTTGGATTTTTGGCATGCAACACACCTTCGGACGAAATTTGCTGTATCTTTAGCTATACCGGGCCACACGTATTTTGTTTGGACGATTTTGCGAGTTGTCCTGATTCCGGGGTGAGACAAAGAGTGAAGCTTGGACAATACCTGCTGCCTACACTTTGCTGGGACA